AAAGACATAATCCCAATTTACATATTAGCCAAAATCGTTGCATATCGTTTCGCTGTACTTGCCAATTTTTTTTTATTGAAATCAATTAATTATAAAGCTTTATTTCATCGAAGTGACATCCAGAACCAACAAAAATTTGCAAAATTTGGTTTTTAGAGCCACTAGAGAAGAGTTTTGGAGGAGATCGAGTTCTCAACTGATTCTCCAAGAAAATGGTGTAAATTTTAAAAAATAGTCAACTTTTCCCGTAATCTGGAACGCATTTTAGGTATAGAATTGGTCTTTTAGGTATTTGTATTAGTTTAAAATGTAGAAGCCTTAAAATATTCATTTGTTGAGTTGTTTAGATCGTCCATGAACTGCTAAACTCTCGACTTTCCCCTAATTCCTCTAATAATCAAAAATCGCAGCTGCCAGAGCCCATTCAACGATCGAAAAGTCGTCCAATATTGCGCAACGCGGGCGCTAAGTACCTTGAGCACCGTTTCGGAGGCGATTATAGGGGAATTGAGGGCCCAGGCCCAGCCCCAACCAAACCCCAAACCCCAACCCTCAGCCTAATCACAATATTGACCTCTTTACCCCATTCTTAATGGCTCTCAGCTGGTAATTGGTCATCAAGAGGAAGATTTTAGATTTTTTGGGAGAGTACCTTAAATTTGTCGAATTTAGACCTTTTATAGCTCATCTTAAAGCTGAATTCAAGACGGATCGATTGGTAAAAAGCGTTTTGAGATATCTCTTTTCTAAAAGTTTTTACAGCTATTTTAGTAAATGGCGGCGCCAAAAAGTGCCAAAAAATGGCTGTTTTCACGTTTCGTTAGTTTTCCGTGCAGAAAACCTAGGCTAAAAACCTGTTTTTCGTGATCAGCGTCCAAAATAACCCCTAGACACGCATTTTCAGAATGTTAGCAAAAAATTTTTGAAAAATATTGTCACCGGTGGGAGTCGAACCAGCGACCCTCAGATCAATAGCCTTTCCGCCGGATTTTCGCGATTTTCCTTCGTTTTTTTCTCGTGAAAATGCGTGTCTAGGGGTTATTTTGGACGCTGATCACGAAACACATGTTTTTAGCCTAGGTTTTCTGCACGGAAAACTAACGAAACGTGAAAACAGCCATTTTTTGGCTTTTTTGGCTCTGCCGCCCTTTACTAAAATAGCTGTAAAAACTTTTAGAAAAGAGATATCTCAAAACGGTTTTTACCAATCGATCCGTCTTGAATTCAGCTTTAGGATGAGCTATAAAAGGTCTAAATTGGACAAATGTATTCTCCCAAAAAATCGAAATTTTCCATCAACCCAATAGATCCAAAATATTTTTTTCTAAAATTCATTTATTTTCTTAAAAATCTTTTTATTCCCTTCTCTGACATCCAGATCCGCCAAAAATTGAGAAAAAAAGTGGAATCTATTGCCCAAATATGCAAATAAGTGGGGGGGAAGAGGCGAAGAGGCGAAGAGAAGGGTCGGGCGGTGGATTTACATGAAAAGAGGCGATTGAGGGGAGGGGAAAGGTGAAGAGAAAGGGTACAAGATGGATCAAAGAGATAGCTGGATAGGGATCGAGGCTTAAAAAAGGGATCCAGTATTGAATTGATCACTCGTTTTTTATCCTAAAGTCCATCCAGCTGCCCTTGAGCCGATCTGTAAATTTCGGGGTTTCTTTCATGGCTAGAAATTGGAAAGGAGATGTTTAGAAAAGTTGGATCAGCTTATTTGTTAGCTGGATTTGGTTTTAAGGCTGGATAGGTAGGCAGGCCGAGAGGTAGGCCAGGCTAAAACTGAGAGGATGTCTGCTAGCGGGTTTAGGAACTCTTGTAGCCCAGCAAAGCCAAATCAGAAGCTAAGCTGATCTAGCCTGGCCTAAGAATTACATTCAAAACAATTTTGACTCCATCGATCAATTGCTGTGGACGGCCAATTTAAAGCTGTAGCCGATAGCTGTCCTCAACTTGATTCATTGCTTCGATCATCCCTTTTTCTTTATCGAGAAGCTGATTCCTTAAAAGGCAAAACAAGTAAACTAAGCTTTCCAAATAGCAAATGAATAATCAATTCTGAATAAGAGCCTCCCAAACAGATCAATGATCAATTGGACCTCTTGAACAGATCTATAACCAATTGGGCCTCTTGAACAGATCAATTGGAACAGATCAATTGGACCTCTTGAACAGATCAGTTGGACCTCTTGAACAGATCAGTTAGACCTCCTGAACAGATCAGTTGGACCTTTTGAACAGATCAGTTGGACCTCTTGAACAGATCAGTTGGACCTCTTGAACAGATCAGTTGGACCTCCTGAACAGATCAGTTGGACCTCTTGAACAGATCAGTTGGACCTCTTGAACAGATCAGTTGGACCTCTTGAACAGATCAGTTGGACCTCCTGAACAGATCAGTTGGACCTCTTGAACAGATCAGTTGGACCTCTTGAACAGATCAGTTGGACCCCTTGAACAGATCAGTTGGATCTCTTGAACAGATCAGTTGGACCTCCCAAACAGATCAGTTGGACCTCCTGAACAGATCAGTTGGACTTCCCGAACAAATCAGTTGGACCTCCTGAACAGATCAACAATCAATTGAGCCTCCCGAACTCGTTGTCCATGCTTAAAACCAGATTGTCGATGAGTTTTTGATCGACAGCGTTGATCGAAAGTGTCTTTTGGACTAGTTGGGTTACTGAAAGGACTAGTTGGGTTATTATAAAGGCAAGAGATTTCGAGCTGGATCACGCTTTAAAGCGTTTAAGTTCAGACAAAGTTCAGAGTTCAGACAAATTCGCAATAACGATGTGGAGTTCAGACAAACTCGCAAGTACGATGTGGCTCTGTTCTTCTAGTTTTTAAATTTAGGCACAAAGACCTTGGGAACTCGAGGTTAGATCCCCAACATAGGATCTGGTTGGACCTGGCTTGGACAGTTGGACCTGGCTAAGAATTACCTTCTTGGTTTTGAAGGTATCTACAATTTTTTCTTGCTTTCTTCCTTTCTTCCTTTCTTTCTTTCTTTCATCTAGAGCTCTTTTCCCTTAATTTAAGCTTCATTCAGTCAATTCCCATCAAAAAAAACGACAACCTGTTGATGAATGCAAATTTTTGACCTCTCTTGTCTCCTCTAGATGACACCTTGAATTAAACGTTGGTGACAGATGGGAATTTGATGCGAATACCCAAAGGACCAGTCCTATACCTAAAATGCGTTCCAGTTTACGAGAAAAGTTGACTATTTTTTTAAATTTACACCATTTTCTTGGAGAATCAATTGAGAACTCGATCTCCTCCAAAACTCTTCTCTAGTGGCTTTAAAAATCAAATTTTGCAAATTTTTGTTGGTTCTGGATGTCAATTCGATGAAATAAAGCTTTATAATTAATTGATTTCAATAAAAAAAAATTGGCAAGTACAGCGAAACGATATGCAACGATTTTGGCTAATATGTAAATTGGGATTATGTCTTTTTTTAAAGCTTAGGCTTCGATCTGGATATCACATGGCCCGAGAATGGAGAGATTGACTAAATATCTTGAAATGGGAGTGACTGGAAGAGGTACCAGAGCTGAGAACTCGTTCTCATCCACAAAAACTCTTTTCTAGTGCTTCTACAATTGATAATTTCGTAATTTTTGTAGTTTCTGGAGGTCACTTCGATTAAATAAAGCTTTATCATTCTGAACTTTCAAGAACTTTAGCCCCCCAAAATCTGTTCAGCTCTACCGTGAATTTGTCTGGATGTGCCCTGTTTTGCTATGGCAATCTACGCACCACCTTATATACACGGTCGCCTTATATACGCCCGGCCGCTTTATATACGCTCGGCTGCCTTATATACGCTCGGCTGCCTTATATACGCCCGGCCGCTTATATACGCTCGGCTGCCTTATATACGCTCGGCTGCCTTATATACGCCCGGCCGCCTTAAACAGACGCGGCCGCCTTATATACGCCCCGGCCGTATAGACGCCGGCCTTACATACGCGGAGCCTTATATACGCTCGGCCGCCTTATATATGCCCGGCCGCCCTATATACGCTCGGCTGCCTTATATACGTGCGATCGCCTTATATACGCCCGGCCGCCTTGAACAGATGCGGCCGCCTTATATACGCCCCGGCCGTATAGACGCCGTATAGACGCCGTATAGACGCATTTTTCGACGAGATTGAGTTCGCAACTCGATCTCGTCAAAAAATCGTCTCTAGTGGCTCTAAAAACCAAATTTTGCAAATTTTTGTTGGTTCTGGATGTCACTTCGATGAAATAAAGCTTTATCATTCGTTGATTTCAATAAAAAAAAAATTGGCAAGTACAGCGAAACGATATGCAACGATTTTGTCAAATATGTAAATTGGGATTATGTCTTTTTTTAAAGCTTAGGCTTCGATCTGGATATCACATGGCCCGAGAATGGAGGAATTGACTGAATATCTTGAAATTGGAGTGACTGGAATAGATACTAGAAATTTGAATATCAACAAAATTTGCATTTAAACTGCGTCAAATTTGCATTTAAATTTGCATCAAATTTGCATTTAAATTGATCAAATTTGCATTTAAATTGAATCAAATTAGGATTTAAATTGAATGAAATTTGCATTTAAATTGCATTAAATTTGCATTTAAATTGCAACAAATTTGCATTCACGAATTCGCATCTTTGGTCGAAGATAAAGTTTTGATGAGTGCCAGAATGAGAAAATTTGCGAAAATCAAAATTCAATCGTTAAAATCAAGTGAAATAAATGCGACATCGCAAAAAATTCGGACACTGGACTGTTTGTAGCTTTCTAAAATCGAAAATTTGAGAAAATTTTGCGAAAATCTTTAGATCTGGAACGCACTGGACATTTAGAAAACGAGAAAACATCGAAAAAACAAAAAATAAAAAATCACTTGAACGAGTTTTAGGACTGGTTGAATTAATGACGAGAAAGGGTCGAGAATAAGACAAAGACGAAAAATTTGATGGTTATGGATGTCACACGAGTGATTGAGAATTATTGAATTGGTGGATTGTGTGCATAATAGAGTGAGGGGAGCTCTCGGAACGGAGCGTGGGGGTCATCACCGTAGTCCCCGGTTGGAGGGCCCAGCAGGCCTGCCCCGGGTCCACCCAGGGTCGGCGACGAGCACTCGGACAGCCCACCCTCGGTCACTAAAAATTTGATAATTTGATATGGTAGTACGGTACTGTACTATGTACCTACATACGTACTATATACTAATTAGTCTTTGACCCAAAGCTTTTATTAGATTAGCTACTGTGCGCTCCAGGATGCTCAAAAATTGAAATCTCGAATCTCTAGATGTTATATCTATCAATATATAAGCCCAATCTTGTATCAAGCTTCTCGTCGAACTCCTTTTCACCTCGATTTCCCATTTAAAAATGAAAAACGATAAATAAAGAGTGAATCCTGGAACTCATGTAATTCATTTCAATCGATAAATTGGCTTGTTTTCAAAATTTTGTGAAGGGGACCCTGGCCCTGAACCTTGGCCTTGGCCCCTGGCCCTGGCCCTGGCCCCTGGCTTGGACACAGAATAACTCACTTGGCGTCACTATCAATGGTGTCCCGTCGGGTCCAATCGGAAATGGTGGATGCAATGGCGGTCGATCGCCAGCACTCGCATAGATGTCTCCACAATAAAAGCCCATCGGTGCAGCAGCGAAAAAGGCACCATCTAAAAGACGGAGAATTTTATGGAAAAAATGATGTCATTCTCAAGCCTGATATCCAGGATCAGCAAAAAAACTGATTTTTAGTGAAAAGGCGCTCCAGTTTTCTTTAAAACAACTCCGGTTTAGTTACGCAACTTGATTTCTTAAAATTTCGATTTTGAGAGTTTCTTTTGATTCAATTCTATCAAGTGACATCCAGGATCAGCCAAAAATAACCTTTTATCCGAAAAGGTCCTCCAGTTTTCTCTAAAACAGCTCCGGTTTAGTTACGCAACTTGACTTCTTCAAAATCTCCATTTGGAAAGTTCGTTTTGATTCCATTCTACCCAGTGACATCCAGGATCGGCAAAAGAAATCGATTTTCATTGAAAACGGGCTCCAGCTTCTTTAAAACAGCTCTGGTTCAGTTACGCAACTTGATTTCTTTAAAATCTCCATTTCGAACGTTCATTTTGATTCAATTCTACCAAGTGACATCCAGAATCAACAAAAAATAACTTTTTATCCGGAAAGCTGCTCCACTTTTCTTTAAAACAGCTCCGGTTTAGTTGCGCAACTTGACTTCTTTAAAATTTCGATTTTAAAAGCTCCTTTTGATTCCATTCTATCAAGTGACATCCAGGATCAGCAAAAGAAATCGATTTTCAATGAAAACGGGCTTCAGTTTCTTTAAAACAGCTCCGGTTTAGTTACGCAACTTGACTTCTTCAAAATTTCGATTTTGAAAGTTTCTTTTGATTTAATTCTACCAAGTGACACCCAGGATTAGCAAAAAATAACTTTTTATCCGAAAAAGTCCTCCAGTTTTCTTTAAAACAACTCCGGTTTAGTTACGCAACTTGACTTTTTAAAAATCTCCATTTCGAACGTTCATTTTGATTCAATTCTATCAAGTGATATCCAGGATCAACAAAAGAAATCGATTTTCAATGAAAACGGGCTCCAGTTTCTCTAAAACAACTCCGGTTTAGTTACGCTCCTCCTTACGCTTTTGACTCCTTAAAAATCTCCTTCTTGAAGTTCATTTTACTGTTTTAAAGAAAAGTGAAGCAGCTTTTCTGCCAAGTGCCCTCCAGGATGCCCACCAAAATTCTCTTTAATCCAAAATATCCAGCTTCCCTTTCCTCCAGCTCCAGGGTTTTCCTTAAGCCTTAAGACTTCGAGGCTTATCTTCAGCTAATCGAAAAAAGGCGGTAATAGATGGATCTTCTTTTGCCCGGTGACCCCTGTGCACTCCATAGTGCCATGCCATCCCGAAAAGCCATCCCCTCTTCAGCCTCATTCATTTGCATACGGTGGATTGGGCAGTCGATTGGTTTCATCAATTCCCCTTGAAAAAAACGGCGAAAAGAAACGGCCGACAGCCGTAAAAAGCTTTTTTTCGTGAAATCTGGATGTCACACGAGAGATTAAAAACGAAATTTCAAAGATTCTACAAATTTTGGTTTTTGGCTTTTTAAAGAGTGGATCAGCTACAGTACCCCAAATTTATAAACATTGAATATCACTACTTTCTTGATCTTAAACAGCCTAGTGACATCCAGGAAGCCCAAAAATTGAATAAGATTCAACCCATCATGCCCATAAACGTCTCCAAGATCATCTCGTCCTTAGCTACAGTACCCCAAATTTATAAACATTGAATACCACTAGTTTTCTTGGTTTTAAACAGCCTAGTGACATCCAGGAAGCTCAAAAATTGAATAAGTTGCAACCCACCATGCCCGTAAACGTCTCCAAGATCATCTCGTCCTTGGCTACAGTACCCCAAATTTATAAACATTGAATACCACTAGTTTTCTTGGTTTTAAACAGCCTAGTGACATCCAGGAAGCCCAAAAATTGAATAAGTTGCAACCCACCATGCCCGTAAACGTCTCCAAGATCATCTCGTCCTCCACGACTTCTCCTTGCCGGTCGATAGCCACCGAAGCGCAACTGTTTCATGCGACGTTCCTTTGAGCGCCGGTTTTGGAACCAGACCTGGAATTATTTACTTATTATTGGAATTGTTTTCTACTTTGGGCTGTGTTGGACCTGGGACTCTGAGACTGAGCCTCTGAGAACCCGGCCCATTTAGCCGCTCTTTCCAAACTGAAAGGGGTTACGGTAATCGAATTCGTCTTTTCTGGAAGTCACTAGGACTCATCGACCCAGCCGAAAAGCCCAAAAACCGAAAATAAAAAAAAAACAGTTATTTAGTAGTATTAGATATTCAATTATATGCAAATTATAAAAACATTAAAAAACTATCATTTTTTTATGTACAAAAGTCTAGTGACATCCAGAACCCCTAAATATCGCTTTGCATTTAAAATCTATAGATAAATGGTAATTTTTCAGCCTTGATCTCGATTTGACAGTTGATTTTGTTTAGAATTAACTATTAAGGCTCAATTTTTTGCTAAATCGTCGCAGTGAATTCCAGCTTGACGCTTTGTGACAAAATCTCCCTCAACCCCATTGTTTTTTCCGGGTTTCTGAGTGAGATCTCGAGTTGACAGCCACCTGCTGACTTACTGAGGTGCTAGGGGAATTTTATCGCTGGTAAATTTAATGCTGGAGTGCACAGAAGGTATTGGATTAAAAATCGCTTCAATATTTCGATAATTTGTCTGTCTGTCTGTCTGTCTGTATGTATGTCTGTCTGTCTGTCCAAGAATGTTTTCTAAAAACTTCTCAACCCCGTCAATAGGTCCCGTGCGCTCCAGAACGAGAGTTGATGGCCCCAGGGGAACTGGAAGGGGCACCCACACGAGTCGAGGCGGCTATAATTGAATCGGGGCAATGGAATGGGCTCTTGAGTAGGGGAAAGCGGCAAGGGGACAACTCGGCACCCCTTTTAAAGTCTTTAGAGCTAGGAGCAGTGAAAAGAGATCTCTTCAAACGATAGGGGAATGAAAAGGCAGTACCACTTGTGGGGCCAGTCAACCGGATTCAGCGCTGAACTGATAGCCGTACAGAGAAGTACTCGAGTTTGGATTAAAGGGGTTTAAGGGTTCATTTTGATTCCATTCTATCAAGTGACATCCAGGATCGGCAAAAGTAATCGATTTTCAATGAAAACGGGTTCCAGTTTCTTTAAAACAGCTCCGGTTTAGTTACGCAACTTGACTCCAAACCCATTGAAGCTCTTTGATTAATCTATCAAGTGACATCCGCATCAGCAAAAAGCTTCCGAAAAGCCCTCCAGTTTTCTTTAAAACAGTTCCGGTTTAGTACGCAACTTGATTTCTTTAAAATCTCCATTTCGAACGTTCATTTTGCTTTCATTCTACCAAGTGACATCCAGGATCAACAAAAGAAATCGATTTTCAATGAAAACGGGCTCCAGTTTCTTTAAAACAGTTCCGGTTTAGTTACGCAACTTGATTTCTTAAAAATCTTCATTTCGAACGTTCATTTTGATTCCATTCTATCAAGTGACATCCAGGATCAGCAAAAAATAACTTTCTAACTCAAAATATCCAGCTTCTCCGGGTTTTTCTTAAGCCGTTAACTTCGAGATTCATTAACAGTCCTAGCATAGTAGCTGGCAAGTCCTGGCCGAGAACAATGAGTTATTAAAACTATCAAATCTCGATAATCAAAGCTGCGAACTCACTAGGACCAGCAGCTAATCGAAACCAGTGACCAGCAGTTAATCCAAATCCATTGCTCAATCTCACCTGTATCACTCTCATATTCAGTCCTGTCTCTTGCGCTAATTGCTCTCTAACATGGCGGGTTGGTTTTGGCGTGGTAGCGAAAGCATTCTTCAGAGTCTCCAGCTGAAAAACGATCTAGTAAAGTCTATTGGAAAAGATTTAGATCTATTTAGATCAGTCTAGAGCTTAGAACAAGATCTAGAACAAGAACTAGAACAAGAATAGAACAAGAATAGAACAAGATCTAGAACAAAGACTAGCCTGTTTCGCTTTAATCGTCGTTCTCGGTCCTCTCCTTTTCGCATTTGCTTCGTTTTCCAGTTTATTTCCATCGTCTTGTTGATTCTCTCCATTCTCCAACGCTTCGTGCATCTAGATTTCAAGAATTAAGCTTCATAAAAGGCTCTTTTTGATAAAATGCGCTTTTTGATACCATTATGCCCAAAAACCGAGGCCAATAAGTCCAAAAATCGATTCCAATAAGGCCAAAAATCGAGGCCAATATGGCCAAAAATCGATTCCATTATGGCCCTCATTCAAACGCTTGTAAAATCATTTCTATATTTCCAATCGGAAAACTTTAAAGACCGAAATGTAGCTAAGAATCCCAGCTTTAATATCCCATATTCCCGAATCGCTTATAGAACTGCAACACGCCAATTACTCACCTCATCCGCGCAATCATGATTCTCCTCATCACCATCCGAGCCACAATCCGAGCCACCGTGCGAGCCTGGAAAGCTTTATCTTTTATAAATTCATAGAAGCTTATGCAAAACACAGTACTCTATTAGTCTGCAATGCGTTACAAAGCATTGATGCAAAGCACCGTTCCTGACCGGGATCGAACCAGCACCCCTCCCCCTTTCCCCCCAGTTTGGCAACCCAGCTCACTAACCACTCGGCCATCCGGAATTTGCTCTATTTTTAGACACTGCTATTTGCAATGTATTCCGTGACTTCCAGAACTCAAGTCTAACTATTTATTTATGTTTAATCTTTGAGATTTCTGGCTTATTTTTCTGCGATCTCAAATCAAGCCCTGAAAACCGGTGAAAAATAAAAATTTCGTCAAAATTATAAGTTATTCGCTGAAGCTGGACGTCATAAAGTGGATAGAAAAAGAAACAAACGTTTTTAAAAAGAAACAAAAATTTCGATAACCCCAGATTGGTAGCCAAGCTTACTAACCACTCGGCCATCGGCAAAATTTGCATTTTTGGGTTTCTATTATTTTCAAAAACTCTCATGACACCCAGATCCCCTGAAAATCGATTCCGCAAAGTTTTTCGGCTGTTTCTGACGTTTATACAGATCCAGCTCTCTTCAGATTTCCTGAAGCTCAACGAAAAAACAAAATTTCAAAAGAAAATCTGCTTTTCAATGGTTTTTTTGTGAATCCTGGGACGCACAGAAGCTATTAAAAATGTAAAAATTTAAGAAATTTGAATTTAAAGTTTTAACTTTTTTTGCCAGTTTCAGGTACAAATTCAGCCTTATCTTTTATAAATTCATAGAAGCTTATGCAAAACACAGTACTCTATTAGTCTGCAATGCGTTACAACGAGTTTATGCAAAGCACCGTCCGTGACCGGGATCGAACCAGCACCCCCCAGATTGGCAACCCAGCTCACTAACCACTCGGCCATCGGCAAAATTTGCATTTTTCGGTTTCTATTATATTCAAAAACTCTCATGACACCCAGATCCCCTGAAAATCGATTTCGCAAAGCTTTCCGGCTGTTTCTGACGTTTATACAGATCCAGCTCCCTTCAGATTTCCTGAAGCTCAACGAAAAAGCAAAATTTCAAAAGAAAATTTGCTTTTCAATGGCTTTTCTGTGAATCCTGGGACTCACAGAAGCTATTGAAAATGTAAAAATTTAAAAAATTTGAATTTAAAGTTTTAAACTTTTTTTTGCCAATTTCAGGTACAAATTTATAATCCAGCGCCGGGCCATGGTATCCATTCCCAGCTGTCACCACATCCGATCCCCTTTGTGGGTCCCAGAGATGTATAGAATCTATAGAAAATCCCTCTTTAGCCGTCTTTTTGCCGGAAAAGGATGAGCATCTTGTCTCAGAGAACAATACGGTATCTATTTTATAGCCAAAGGGCTAAATACCCGGGGTAAACAAGGTGGACACCATATGGTGGACCCTTTGGAATGGCTATTTCCCGCAAAAAGTGGTTTTCATGGATTTTACAGTACTTTGAAAAGGGTTTAGTACAGTACACTCCAATTTACAGTATCAAAGTCGTCAAAAATCCAAAAAGTCTAAAGAATAAGTTTATCCTGGAAGTCACGGGATTGATTGAAAGCTTTAAATTGACTTGTTTCTAATGTTTGTGGATCTTGTTCTGGTTCTTGTAGAGTACACTAATGAACAATGTCAAAATCGTGCCTAAAATCCAAAAAGTCTAAACAAAGAGTTTATTCTGGAAGTCACGGGATCTATTGAAAGCGTTAAATTGACTTGTTTCTATTGTTTGTGGATCTTGTACTCAGGTGTACAGTACACTCCAATGAACAATGTCAAAATCGTGCCTAAAATCCAAAATCTGTAAACAAAAAGTTTATCCTGGAAGTCACGGGATCTATTGAAAGCTTTAAATTGATTTGTTTCTAATGTTTGTGGATCTTGTTCTGGTTCTTGTAGAGTACACTAATGAACAATGTCAAAATCGTGCCTAAAATCCAAAATCTGTAAACAAAAAGTTTATCCTGGAAGTCACGGGATTGATTGAAAGCTTTAAATTGATTTGTTTCTAATGTTTGTGGACCTGAGCTGGTTGGATGATGGATAATTATTGGGTGTCTGTTAGTTCTGTTAGTGCGACCGTGTAAATGGATTTCTTTTTGCTCTCTTTTCCCTCTGGAACGGCTATTCCTTCTTTAATTCCCCAATGAATGCCTTGAATGAGTGTTGGTAATGAGATTCCCGGTGTGACTAACAGAGGAACCCTCCAGGTCCTGAGAGAGGAGCTGGGTACTAGGGTGACCCTAAGACCCTAGGGATAAAGAAAGCCATAACCTGATTCCAGATCTAGCTCTGGACGTCTACCTAGATGTGGAGCCGGATCTGGACCTGGACTTAGACTTGGAGCATCGACAGAGATAGCCTCGGCGGGCACTTTCATATTGATCCCTGTGCGTTTTTTGAAAAATTTTTGAAAATTCGGTGGTCCTGGATCGCACACTGTCGATTTATCAATAAAATGGATCAAAAAAATCAACTTTGAAGAAGGCACATTTTCGAGAACCTTACTATGCCAAAATTTTGCCCCAAAATGGTTCTTGAAAAAAATTTCTGAAAATTCGGTGGTCCTGGAAGTCACACTCAGGATCTATCAATAAAATGGGTCAAAAAAATCAACTTTGAAGAAGGCACATTTTCGAGAACCTTACTAAGTCAAAATTTTGCCCCAAAATGGTTCTTAAAAAAAAATTTTTAGAAAATTCAGCGGTCCTGGATGGCACACTGTCGATTTATCAATAAAATGGATCAAAAAAATCAACTATGAAGAAGGCACATTTTCGAGAATCTTACTAAGCCAAAATTTTGCCCCAAAATGGTTCTTGAGCAAATTTTTTCAAAAGATTCGGCAGTCCTGGAAGTCACACTGACGATCTAACAAGAAAATGGACAATTAAACTCAATTTTGAAGAAGGCACATTTCCGAGAACCTTACCATGCCAAAAATTTTGCCCCAAAATGGTCCTTGGCAAATTGTTTTCAAAAAATTCAGCGGTCCTGGATCGCACACTGTCGATTTATCAATAAAATGGATCAAAAAAATCACCTATGAAGAAGGCACATTTTCGAAAACCTTACCATGCCAAAATTTTGCCCCAAAATGGTCCTTGGCGAATTTTTTTCAAAAAAATCTACATACTGGATGTCACAGATAGTTTGCAGAGCTTTAAATATAAATCATAGCTATTTTTAGGTTTAGAGCTATTTCGACAGTACTTGACTAGGCGTTGCGCTTTTTCTTTCTAGAAAACCAACCATTTCTGCTCGACGCGTGGCCCAAATGCGGTGTCGTTGTGCCATTTGAGAGCGGGGTGTGCGGCAAAGTGCCAGGCGTGGAAATTGGCGCGGCGACTAGTTGAGTCAACTGAAATCTTGCGCATTCACCTTCGCCTGCTTGGTGTGACCCACCGGTGTGCTCGGTGAGGCCAGCTGGCCGTGCAAGAAATCCTGTTGACAGACGAAGCGCGCGTCGCTGAGAATGTAGAGCTGAAAGTGATTCAAAATTTCAGAACTACCTCAACATTTCAGGACTACCTCAAAATTTCCGTTCTTTTCACGTCTTAATTAAGTTTTTCTGAGATTTAAGTCAATTCTGGAAGGCACTGAGTCCTTTAATGCCGATTCTAGCTCTTGAACGCTGTTTTAAAATTTTTTTTAAAATGATAGCCAAGATGGCTAGGGCTTTAAATTCAAATTTCTTAAATTTTTACACTCTCAATAGCTTCTGTGAGTTCCAGGATTTACCGAAAAACCATTGAAAAGCAGATTTTCTTTTGAAATTTTGTTTTTTCATTGAGCATCAGGAACTCTGAAGAGAGCTGGATCTGTATAAACGTCAGAAACAGCCGGAAAACTTTGCGGAATCGATTTTCAGGGGATCTGGGTGTCATGAGAGTTTTTGAATATAATAGAAACCGAAAAATGCAAATTTTGCCGATGGCCGAGTGGTTAGTGAGCTTGGCTACCAATCCGGGGGGTGCTGGTTCGATTCCGGTCAGTGAAAAAATTGCGAAAACTTTGTAAATTCTTTTCTATTTTTATTTAGTGACGGAATACATTGCAGTTATCAGTGGCTAAAAATAGAGGAAAGTCTGGATGGCTGATTGGTTAGGCAAAAAAAAAATTAAAACTTTAAATTCAAATTTCTTAAATTTTTACATTTTTAATAGCTTCTGTGCGTCCCAGGATTCACAAAAAAACCATTGAAAAGCAAATTTTCTTTTGAAATTTTGTTTTTTCGTTGAGCATCAGGAAATCTGAGCCCCCGGAAAGAGAGCTGGATCTGCATAAATGTCAGAAACAGCCGGAAAACTTTGCGGAATCGATTTTCGGGGGATCTGGGTGTCATAAGAGTTTTTGAAAATAATAGAAACCTAAGAATGCAAATTTTTCCGATGGCCGAGTGGATAGTGAGTTTGGCTACCAATCCGGAGGGTGCTGGTTCGATTCCGGTCAGTGAAAAAATTGCGAAAACTTTGTAAATTCTTTTTTTGATTTTAAAATAAGCTTATCCAGTCAATTTCTAAGCCTTGGGAGCTTCAAGTTTTCCGTTTAAATGCAAATTTTCAGGAATTTTCGATTTTTCGCCTTAAAACTGCACTATTTTCTCAAATTCTCAAAAATTTTCTCTCAAAAAGGTGTTCTGAAATTTTTTTTTTGCCAGACTTTTCCCTATTTTTTTTGCGCGTTTTTGAGGCCTTTCACCTGGGATTTTCCTTTGGTTTTCTCTCGGGAATTCTCTGCATCGACAGAGATTAGCCTCGGCGGCTTGCACAAGAACAAAATATTGATCCCTGTGCGTTTTTTGAAAAATTTTTGAAAATTTGGGAGTTCTGGAAGTCACACTGAGGATCTATCAATAAAATGGATCAAAAAAATCAACTTTGAAGAAGGCACATTTTCGAGAATCTTACTAAGCCAAAATTTTGCCCCAAAATGGTTCTTAAAAAAAATTTTTTCAAAAATTTGGCGATCCTGGAAGTCACACTGACGATCTAACAATAAATTGGGTCAAAAAAATCAACTTTGAAGAAGGTACATTTTCGAGAACCTTACTATGCCAAAATTTTGCCCCAAAATCGTCCTTAGCAAATTTTTTTCAAAAAATTCAGCGGTCCTGGATCGCACACTGTCGATTTACCAATAAATTGAGTCAAAAAAATCAATTTTGAAGAAGGCACATTTTCGAGAACCTTACCAAACCAAAATTTCACCTCAAAATCGTCCTTAGCAAATTTTTTTCAGAAAAATCTACATACTGGATGTCACAGATAGTGTTCAGAGTTTTAAATGTAAATTTCCCCTACTTGTTCTCCTGTGTCGAGTTTTCGGTGACAAATCGAGCACTGGAAGCATTCGATGTGAAAAACCTGGAAGAAAAATGATTCAAAATGTTTTTCGACAGTTCTGGATGTCACGAAATAATTTGCATATAAAGAAATTTAATTTTAGAAAAATTTAATTATTTCGAAAAAATTTTAAATGCAAATTTCAAGTTGCTTTTCAAATAAATGCAAATTCGAAATTTGCATTTATTTTAAATTTGCATTTATTTTAAATTTGCATTTATTTTAAATTTTCATTTATTCGAAATTTGCACTTATTTGAGATTTGCATTTATTTTAAATTTGCATTTAACTACTGATTTTTCAAGTTGCTTTAATTTCGCTGAATTTTGTGTCAAATTTCCTCGTGACTTCCAGGATTTCGAAATCTCGCCACCTTGTCCCTTGCTCTTCGCACCAAATCATCTTTTTCGAGCCCGCCATCGCAGCCAGCACACCGCGTGGCGTAGCGTCTGAAAAAATAGCCGAAAATCAGTTTCAATCGATAACCAGAATGCCGTGTGACATCCATAGTTGACAAATTCGGCTTTAAATTGCTCTTAAAGGCTTTTAAAAGCTTTTAAAAGCTTTTAAAAAGCTTTTCCTTTCCATTCGAACCTGGAGAAATCGCGTCGACAAAGCAAAAGGCCGTCTCGACTAAAGCACGACTCATTCATCGGTGACTGGCAATCCGAGCAGCGCAAGCATTCCTGGTGCCAGGCCTGAATTGAAAATTATCGGAAATAATAGCTTCTTCTCTAAAATTCACTTAAAATTAACGAAAACCAATGAAACTTTGTGCAGAATTGTTACCTCGGCTTAAAATTGAATTTAAGCCAAGAAAATTTTTGTTTAAAAGCGATTTTTAGGCAATCTGGAACGCACAACAAAATCTAGTTCAAGAAAAATTTCGAAATTTTGAAATCTAAGGAAACTGGTTGCGTAGAATTGTTACCTCGGCTCAAAATTGAAGTTAAGCCAAGAAAATTTTTGTTTAAAATCAATTTTCAGGCAATCTGGAAGGCACAACAAAATCTGGTTTAAGTAAAATTTTGAAATTTTGAAATCTAAGGGAACTGGTTGGACAGAATTGTTACCTCGGCCTAAAATTGACTTTAAGCCAAGAAAATTTTTTCTTAAAGTCAATTTTCAGGCAATCTGGAACGCACAACAAAATCTGATTCAAGAAAAATTTCGAAATTTTGAATTTAAAAATTTTTCCGAACTTTTGCCTAAAAACTTTTCCCAGGCTAGTTACAAATTGTAGCTTTTAGCATGGAAAGCATGGGAAATCCGAGTGTGCGTTCCAGGAGCGCCAAAAATGCGTAAATGAACCGACTTTGCCGAGCACATGGTAGACATATCGGTCCAAAATCGGCAGCTGGCATAGGGCGCATGAAGACATGGAATTTAGCGAGTTGAGGGAAGGAATTGAGCGTCTATGGGGTCTATGGGTGTCTGTGGGCGTCTGTGAGTGAGGCAGGACAGCCTACTGTATAGCGGTCGGCCCCGCCCCGCCCCTAGCCTAGTGGTTGGAGAGGTGAGTCGGCCCGGACCCCTTTTCCAAGTCCTCCTCCTTTTCTCGATCTGATGGGCCCAAAAGGGCAGGTGCTTCCCAGCATTTGCGAGAATCGAAGAATTATCGACTCTCGTGTTGTGGAGACGAAAAAATTCCACCAAAATAGCACCCGAATTTTTGCACTGGAGACCAAAAATTGGAAATCGGTGGCAAAAATGATTTTGACTTTTTACGTGACATCCAGGATCACCAGTTTTTAAAGAAATATTGAAAAAAGAGAGATTTCAGAGGTTTTACAGCGATGAAAGCTTATCGTCGCTAAATAAAGTACTGTAGACGATTTTAGCGATTATTAGAATGACCAAGTTTTAATCTGGAAGTCAGTAAATCCTTTTGGAACGCTAGGTTTTGATTTGGAACCAGTTTCCACGTAGCTCAGCCGGTAGAGCGTTCCACTACCAATCCAAAGGTCGCGGGTTCGACTCCGCCTGGTGCCAATTTAAGACCAAAAAATTGGAAATCGGTGGCAAGGATGATTTTGACTTTTTACGTGACATCCAGGATCATCAGTTTTTGAAGAAATATTTAAAAAGGAGAGATTTCAGAGGTTTTACGGCGATGAAAGCTTATCGTCGCTAAATAAAGTACTGTAAACGATTTTAGCGATTATTAGAATGACCAAGTTTTAATCTGGAAGTCAGTAAACCCTTTTGGAACACTAGATTTTAATTCCAAGACAGTTTCTACATGGCTCAGCCGGTAGAGCGTTCCACTGGCAATCCGGTGGTCGCTCTAGAGGTCGCGGGTTCGACTCCGCCTGGTGTCAATTTCAAGTTCTAATCGAGCTTTTTTGTATAGTTTTTCAAGGAGAATTCCAGGAAACACACCAATCAAAAAAACCGGGATCGTTACGGAGAAAAACGGGGGAAAGCGGGAAATCACATTATCGCTCGGCACTCTCCGGAGGGGAAATGAAGAAATGGACATGGAAAACAAGGGAAAAAATACAGTGATCTATTTAAATTCGGTACCTGAGCACAATTTTATCATTAAAAAATTCAATTTAAAGTTAAATTGAAAGAATTATTAAGGAAAACAGTTTTCTCGATCAATCCGAGATTCTGCTTGAACATTTTGCTTTTTAAATTTGTCATTGGCTGATCTGGAAAGCACAGAATCTATTTAGAAAATTAGATTTCGGCTTTAAGCAAATTTTTATGTGGCTCAGCTGGTAGAGCCTCTGTTTACGAGGCGACACGGCTTCGAGGCCAAGGGTTCGAGTCCGTGTGCGCGGGTTTTTAAATATTGAGTTATTTCTCATTTTGGCACCAATCCCTAGCTCATTACTCACAAAGGAGGGCGAGTCTCGAGGAAAAATCTTGTGCGAACGGAGAAAAAAACGGAGAAAAGGTCTATGATTCATTGTCACCGCCGGGTTTTTTTGATAACGGTTAATTGGAGCCTTAAAAACATAATTTTTGGCCATTCTGGAACTCACGTAACAGGTTTGGTTTAATTTTTAGCATTTTTAGCTAGTCTGGGGTTTCTATAGTGGAGTGGATACAGGACTGGGCTTGTATACTGCTGACTATTTGATATTTTGATCTTCTAGTTAAATTTTTGGCCATTCTGGAAGGCACGTAACTGATTGGGTTTGATTTTTAGCATTTTCAGCTAATCTAGGGTTACTGTAGTGGAGAGGATGCAGGACTGGGCTTGTATACTGCTGAATATTTGATATTTTTAGCTTCTAGCCAAATTTTTGGTCATTCTGGAAGGCACGTAACTGATTTGTTTTAATTTTTAGCATTTTCAGTTAATCTGGGGCTTCTGTAGTGGAGTGGATACAGGACTGGGTCTCTCTACAGCTGAAGATTTGATATTTTGATCTTCTAGCTAAATTTTTGGCCATTCTGGAAGTCATGTAACTGATTGGGTTTCATTTTCAGCATTTTCAGTTAATCTGGGGTTACTGTAGTGGAGTAGATACAGGACTGGGCTTGTATACTGCTGACTATTTGATATTTTTAATTTCTAGTTAAATTTTTGGCCATTCTGGAAGTCATGTAACTGATTTGGTTTAATTTTTAGCATTTTCAGTTAATCTAGGGTTACTGTGGTGAAGTGGGTACAGGACTGGGCATTTTTACTATTGAATATTTGATATTTCGACCTTCTGGCTAAATTTTTGCCCATTCTGGAAGTCACGTAACTGATTGGGTTTCACGTTTTAGCATTTTCAACTCATCTAGCTCTATGGTGGAGCAGCATTCAGGACTGGGTCTCTATACAGCTGAATATTTAATATTTTGATCTTCTAACTAAATTTTTGTCGACTATGGGTGTCACACTGAACATTGTAATTGAGATTTAAACGAAATTCGTCTTTCTGAGACTTTCTAAAACACACCTGCGGCCTTTTCGCTTAAAAAGAAAAAAAAAGTCGCAATGATGGTTTTTCTTGTTTCTCTTGTTTCTCTTTTTGTCAGTTTTTCCCCGTGTCTCCCACCGAGTCGGTTCGGCTTTGGTTTTGGGCGATTCGAAGAAAAAACTGAAAGTAGGCATTCATGTTCTTGATTGATTACCCAAACAAAAACTCAAAAATCGAATTCAATGTTTAGCACGTAGTTTTAACGCACAAATTTCAAAATGACATCCAGGATTTAGGTTTTCATTGGAATTTTGACGAAAGGCTGAATCAGGAACGAGAAACAGACCCAGTCCTTGACCGTCAGAGTTGTTGTCCTTGATTTAATCTCAGGCCTTCACTCTTCCGAGATTTCTCTTCGAGTTTTCGTCAAATTGGAGCACACAACGGGGTTTCCCGTGTCGATCAACCAAGTTTTGTTGGACAAGAAAAATGACAAGAAAAACAACAAGAGCAACACTGCGGCCCGTTTGTAATTCTTTTGGAGGCCTTTTTTCGGGAAAACGATTCCATTTCTCTTTTGACAAACGACGCCGACGAAAGGAAAGAAAAAAAGATTGAGGAAAAACGCTCGGGAGGAGGTCAGACAAAAGAAAAATGATTGAGAATCGGGAATTCTTTGATTGAAACTTCGGGACTGGTCGAATTCCTCGCGCACCGGGTGAGTCCTCGAAAATTTAAAGCCGCCATTCTTGGATCTGGAGCTCAGGAAAGTGTTTGGTGAAATTAGATTTTAATTTCGGTCAAGTTTTTTCATAGTTCAATCGGTAAAGCGTTTTGCTACAGATCGGAAGGTCGAGGGTTCGAGTCCGCTCGGTGGCAAAAAAATTTTTGTTGCTAATAATTTGCATTTTTCTATAACCGAACAGCTAGTGTGACTTCCAGATCGAAAGCTCGTTGATTTTCAGGCCAAATTTTCTTTTGTTAAACGTAGAATTTCGCTCGATCTCAAAACGGACGCTTATTCAACGTTTACTGTACTTGTATTAGCTACAGTAACCCTCCAGGAGGCTGTCAATAGCTACAGTAACCGCATACTTCTTAAAATGTGCCCTTTTGCTACAGTAACCGGCAAGAAATGATTGAGAATCGGGAATTCTTTGATTGAAACTTCGGGACTGGTCGAATTCCTCGCGCACCGGGGGACTATTCGAAAATTTAAAGCCGCCATTCTTTGATCTGGAGCTCAGGAAAGTGTTTGGTGAAATTAGATTTTAATTTCAGTCAGATCTTTTCATAGCTCAATCGGTAAAGCGTTTTGCTACAGATCGGAAGGTCGAGGGTTCGAGTCCGCTCGGTACCAAAAAAATTTTTGTTGCTAATAATTTGCATTTTTCTATAACCGAGCAGCTAGTGTGACATCCAGATCGCAATTTTATCGCCTCAGAAAAATGCGATCGCAAAAATATGTGGATTTATCGTCAAGGGTTCGAGTCCGCTCGGTACCAAAAAAATTTTTGTTGCTAATAATTTGCCTTTTTCTATAACCGAGCAGCTAGTGTGACATCCAGATCGCAATTTTATCGCCTCAGAAAAATGCGATCGCAAAAATATATGGATTTTTTCCTTGTGTGCTACATTTTGTTCAGCTACAGTACCCCTTTCACCCGATTTTCCCGACGTTAAATCGATATTTTCCAATTTTCCCCATCATCTTTCTTTCCTCAGCAATGCGAATAGGCAAAAAGAGGGCACAAAAAGCAAAACGAATTTCGTTTTTTCTTTTTTTGGGTACTGTAATAACAAATGTTAAACTTTCAGATTGAAAAATATTTGAATTTAAATTTGAAAAATTCATCCTGACACTCATTAAGCTCAAGTACTCTTTCAGATTTCAAAAATAAGCAAAAAGTTTTTCTGAGCGGGGTCGAACCCGGGTCGTTTGACTAGTCGTTCGACTGGTAGCTTAGTTCACTAACCACTCGGCCAAACAAAAAGTGTCACCAATAAATTATTTGAATATCAATTTTTAAAGTGTGACTTCCAGATCGAAAGCTCATTGATTTTCAGGCCAAGTTTTCTTTTGCAAACCTTAGAATTTCGCTTGTTCTCAAAACGGAGGCTTATTCAACGATTACTGTACTTGTATAACGTAAAACGACAAAGGTTTATTCAACAAAAAAAGCCCTGGATGATGAAAGACGTTAAAGCATTGGGGTAAATGGAGATCATAATGATAAAAGGAGATAAAAAACCGTATTTCAGAAGATTTTGAAAGATTATGGACTTGCATCCATATCTTCGATCCCTTCTAAACGATCTAAATCGAAAGAGGTTGAGGTGGGCATTTCGAAACGAAGAGAAGCGATTAATGGAGGAGAAGGAGTACGGCCAACACCACGAATCGACGACAGAGAGCCACGGGGAAGAGATGAAGATTGAGGGGAAAGGAAGCGTCTGAATGATCCGCCCGCCTGGAAATCAACTTATTGAATGATCCGGGCAAGCATTCAGCCCAAATACTCTCTCAGATTTCAGAAGCAAGCAAAAAGCTGCCCCTGAGCAGGATCGAACCCGGGCCGTTTGACTAGTCGTTCGACTCGTAGCTTAGTTCACTAACCACTCGGCCACAGAAAAATTGTTAGCAATAGGTTTTTTCAATATCAATTTTTAAAGTGTGACTTCCAGATCGAAAGCTCGTTGATTTTCAGGCCAGGTTTTCTTTTGTTAAACGTAGAATTTCGCTTGATCTCAAAACGGAGGCTTATTCAACGTTTACTGTACTTGTACTAGCTCCAGTAAGCTAACAACAGTTACAGTAACCTCATACTTCTTAAAATGTGCCCTTTTGCTACAGTAACCGGCTAGAAATGATTGAGAATCGGGAATTCTTTGATTGAAACTTCGGGACTGGTCGAATTCCTGGCGCACAGGGTGAGTACTCGAAAATTTAAAGCCGCCATTCTTCGATCTGGAGCTCAGGAAAGTGTTTGGTGGAATTAGATTTTAATTTCGGTCAAGTCTTTTCATAGCTCAAACGGTAAAGCGTTTTGCTACAAATCGGAAGGTCGAGGGTTCGAGTCCGCTCGGTACCAAAAAAATTTTTGTTGCTAATAATTTGCATTTTTCTATAACCGAGCAGCTAGTGTGACATCCAGAACGCAATTTTATCGCCTCAGAAAAATGCGATCGCAAAGATATGTGGATTTATCGTCAAGGGTTCGATTCCGCTTGGTACCAAAAAAATTTTTATTGCTAATAATTTGCATTTTTCTACAAACGAATAGCTAGTGTGACATCCAGATCGCAATCTTTCCAGTCTACAGTTCACTCACCGATCCAGGGGAGCTCCTCGTGTGCAAGCTGTGTAAACTCGTTTGGCTCCTTGAGATCAGAGACTCTTGGGTGTCCGGATCGTCACCAGGTTGTGCAGTGGGTTCCCTATAGCTTGGATATCAGAAAATTCTCTAAAATTTGTTTACCTGTAAGTGACGTTTTTCTTTTTGTGCCAAAGTAGCAATGGGCGTCCCTTGAAGAAGCCCTTTCGGGGTTTTTTGACTTTTTTCTGAAATTTTAATGAAATTAGTTTAATAATTAGCTCAGGATTACTTTAGATGGCTTAGATAACTTAAAGAATGCTAAGAAAGCTAACTTAAGGAATGAGAAGAAAGCTAGCTTCAAGAATGAGAAGAAAGCTACCTTAAAGAATGAGAAAGATCTTTAAAATTCTCTATAAAATTCTCTTTAGGCTCTTGAAATTCTCTTTAATATTCGGTTCAACCTAATATTTTCTTTATCCAAACCTTTGGCGACGGGTCCTCCAAAGAGGCATGACTGGGCGATGTTCCTGGAAAAGATTCATAACTTGTATTGACTCAAATGGACTAAAATAGACTAAAATAGACTAGAATAGACTAAAATAGACTAGAATAGACTCAAATAGACTAGAATAGACTAAAATAGACTCAACTGGACTCAACGGGGCTCAACTGGGCTCAACTCAACTCAACTGGGTTCAACGGGGCTCAACTGGGCTCAACGGGGCTCAACTGGGCTCAACGGGGCTCAACTGGGCTCAACTGGGCTCAACTGGGCTCAACTGGGCTCAACTGGGCTCAACGGGGCTCAACTGGGCTCAACTGGGCTCAACTGGGCTCAACTGGGCTCAACTGGACTAAAATAGACTTTATTTTGCTTACCCGGGAAATCTGAAGCACATGAGGTGTCAAAAGATGTCGATTCGTGCAAGTGTTGTTCTCCACTCTCTAATCCAGCCATTGTTCCTTCCGTTGAATCAATCCAATGTGATGGTGAGGGAGCAGTACGACGAGAATTCGATCGAAGGGAGGAACGGAGGGAATCTCTGGGAAAAATTGGTTTACTCTAGAAGAGAACGATCCACATTAAACTCTATTTTCTAAATATTAAAATTTACAATCTATTTAAATCTATTTAAATAAGTTTTCGAGCACACCAAATTTGAAGCTGACATCCAACTAAGATATAGCCAAAAGATCAAAACGTTTCCTCTATCTAGTTCCGAGAAAAAGCGCCAGTCCTGTAACCGACTAAAAGTGCCTCCTCGAAAATTAGCGTTATCAAAAATTTGATCACAGCAATTTCTAAGCTGACATCCAAATAAGATATAGCCAAAAGATCAAAAGATCTTCTTTATCTAGAACCGAGAAAAAGAGCCAGTCCTGTAACCGACTAAAAGTGCCTTCTCGAACTAATCGAAGAACTATTACAGGGTGACCAGAAATAACGTTGCGGCCTAATTTAGCCTAGTTTTTTAAAAATCCAAAAAGGTTTTTGTAACAGAAAGAATTTTTTATTAACAACATGATATAAAGAGAGCATAAAATCTACTTTTCTTCAAAGTGGCCACCTTTGGCCCCGATGCAGAGCCTCAAACGTTTGATGAAGTTTTCGGCGATGAGCCGCAGCTCGGCCGGAATGGTTCGATCCCATTCCCTGGTCAAGAATCGCTTAAGAGCCTCCAAACTTTTGTGGGGTTTTGCACAAATGCCTTGCCTCTAAAATTGACCAGTTATACAGGTGTTGCCTTAAAAGGCCGATCTTTGGGGTCTTAAAAGAAACCGTATTGGGACCGTCTTGGAACCGTATTGGGACCTTAAAAGGAGCCGTATTGGAAACGTATTGGGACCTTAAAAGGAACCGTATTGGAACCGTATTGGGACCGTCTTGGGACCGTATTGGGACCTTAAAAAGAACCGTATTGGAACCGTATTGGGACCGTATTGGGACCGTATTGGGACCGTATTGGAACCGTATTGGGACCTTAAAAGGAACCGTATTAGAAACGTATTGGGACCTTAAAAGGAACCGTATTGGAACCGTATTGGGACCGTATTGGGACCGTATTGGAACCGTATTGGAACCGTATTGAAACGTATTGGGGCCTTAAAAGGAACCGTATTGGAACCGTATTGGGACCGTCTTGGGACCGTATTGGGACCTTAAAAGGAACCGTATTGGGACCGTCTTGGAAGCGTCTTGGGACCGTATTGGGACCTCAAAAGGAACCGTATTGGGACCTTAAAAGGAACCGTATTGGAAACGTATTGGGACCTTAAAAGGAACCGTATTGGGACCGTATTGGGACCGTCTTGGAACCGTATTGGCACCGTATTGGAACCGTATTGGAAACGTATTGGGGCCTTAAAAGGAACCGTATTGGAACCGTATTGGGACCGTATTGCAACCGTAACTAAAATTGACCAGTTATACTTCCCAGTGTAGTCCAACGGATTGAGATCGCACGAATACGGAGGCCATTCCTGGGCCGAGATGAAATCCGGCAAGTTTGTCCTACACCGATCCTGTATGGATTTGACTCGATGAGAAGGAGCGGAGTCTTGTTGGAAGGTCCAAAATCCGTTACCAAAATGCTGTTGAGCCCATGGAAGGAAAACATCCTCAAGAATCTTTTTTCGGTACACATCCTTATTGATTTTTACCCCAGAATTGATGAAAATGCGAAGAGTTTTGCCGGTTGCGCAGATTCCGGCTCAGACCATGACCGATTTGGGATTTTGTCGGTGTTGAACAATCGCAGAGCTGCCTAGAGAGGACGTTTGACCAAATCCGTTCGTTTTGGTGGTTGTAGCTTTGCTCCACCGAGAAGAGCTCAGAAAACAGGATTCGCTCCCAGTGTGGAGTTGCGGTCCGCTTGAGAAGCTCTCGACATCTTTTCGAATTCGTTTGTTGTCGCCGTCGAGTTGTTGCGCTTGCTTGAGCTTCTAAGGGTGAAGATTGAGCTCATTTTTGGCCATAAGTCGAACCGATTCGCGAGCGATTCCCGTCTGTCGAGCGATCTTTCTCCGTCGAGCGATCTTGAGACCTGTGGATTCCAGGTCACGCGCTTCTAAATCACTTTGCGATTTCTGGAGGTGATGACTGTTCTTTTTCTGCCTCTTCCTCGACGATCTCCATCGTTGCCAAGCTCCTTAGTAATTTTTGAGATGAGCTGATGATCAACACGTAGCAATCGCGCGATCACACTCACGCATTGACCTTGACGATGAAGCTCCAGAATGGCAGATCCCTTGTTTGTCATTGTATAAAACAAAAAACAATCACAGAGAATAGGTTAAAAATAAATTTTTCTACCAAAATTGAAATTTTGAGGATTTTAGGCTGCCGAAAATCCCACAATGTTATTTCTGATCACCCTGTATTTTCTAAATATTAAATATCTGAACAATTCCAATGTTTACATGCTATCCAACTAAGAAATAGTCAAAGTTTCATCGAAATCTGTCAACTGAAAAAAAAGATAATAAGGTGAACAGATTCTAAGCTATTTCTTTCAGGCTATCTATTCTAGATCTGCCTAGGAAGCCTATATCTTGGATAGACAGAAGCTAGCCTTGCCCTCTTGTGCTTGGGTTAGGCCTTGTCTTGTCTGTGCTTCCTTGTCTTTGGCTCTTTCCAGAGCTGACTATAGTCTTGCTCTAGACTTGCTAGCCCTTCAGGCCAATCTTCAGCTATTACCTTGAGATTTGCGATGATCTAGAGAATCGACGTTGATCCGTTTGCAATGACCACGAGTTCGTGGTGATTTGCGAGGTCGAGTAGCTAACTGGAGCCGCTGTGCGGAGTGCTCGATCTGAATCAACTCATAAAGTAGCACTTATCCTTGTTAAAGCAAAAAGTTTTGCTTTTTTTTCTCCAATCTGGAACGCATGCTATCAACTAGTAAAAAGAAAACCATAAAAATTTGAATTTTGCCTAAACCTATATAGTGCCCTGACTACCGTAATCCGAAATTTACATTAGCAAAATGAAGGCTAAAAACAGTTTCATTTTCTCCAGTGCCTACCAGAATCGGTGGTGGGCGGCGGGGAAAGTCTGGAAATTTGTCGGGAAGACGGTTCGGTGATCGAACTCGTCGACAACACTTCGTCCTCAAAACGCACGACGCTCTTCTTCTTCTAGAAGTTGGGATTTCAAATTTGCTCAAGCTGGAGGTCACGTAAACGTTTGGAAATGGCAGAAATGGAAAATTTGAAAAATTTTGATCAACTGGTATTTTTCCGGAAAATTTTGGAGCTCGGCTTCGAAAAGTAAAAGTCCGATTTGCTTTTTAAACTATTTTTTCTCAGATTCTGGATGTCACAGTAGATATCTGAGTGTTTAGAAATTTAATATCTTGAAATTTGAAAAATTTTGTTTAACTGGTATTTATCCGGAAAATTTTGGAGCTCGGCTTCGAAAACTAAAAGTCAAATTTCTTTTTAAACTATTTTTTCTCAGATTCTGGATGTCACAGTAGATTTCTAAATATTTAGAAATTTAATATTTCAACATTTCTTTACCTTGTTGTACCGATAGTCGTACTCGTAATCATTCTCATCAACGAAAGTCGGGAATTGGCCATCTTTGATGAAAAGTGGTACGAGAGCTGGTGGCCAAATGCCTGAATTTCATTATTATTGTCTAAATTATTATTATTGGCTGCTTCCCAAACCTTCAACAATCATATGCGTTTGTGGGACCCGAGAGAGTCGACCCTCTTTCACTTGAATGGCTAACTGAAAGCAAATGCTTGTTTTTAAGTAGTTTTTCTTCGATTCTGGATGTCACAGTAGATATCTATATCTCTAGATATCGAAAAACTCTTGGTACTAGAAAGCATATTCAATTGTGGTCCAAAGTACTAAAAATCTCGGGTTTGGAACAAAAACTATGAGCCTAAAACTAGTTTTTCTTCAATCCTGGATGTCACAGTAGATATCTATCTCTTTAGATATCAAAAAACTCTCAGTACTAGAAAGCATACTCACATGTGATCAAAAGTACTACAAATCTCGTGTTTAGAACAAAAACTACAAATCTAAAACCAATTTTTCTTCAATCCTGGATGTCACAGTAGATATCTGAGCACTTAGATATCGAAAAACTCTTGATACTAGAAAGCATATTCAAATGTGATCCAAAGTACTACAAATCTCGGGTTTAGAACAAAAACTATGAGTCTAAAACTAGTTTTTCTTCAATCCTGGATGTCACAGTAGATATCTGAACACTCGGATCTCGATATCTCTCTAGATATCGAAAACGCTCGACTATTGTATGACTAGATCCGTCAGATAATGATAAAACGAGGGCATTTTGCTCTTCTGTAATGTGCATTGTAAACGCATCCCTTCTAGCGCACTCAATCCTTTTTCTTGAGAAAGAGAATGCGCTAGAGTCAGTGCGTTTACTTTTGAGCAAAAAGTCGTACATTGCTCAGCTCACCTTGACCAAATTCTCTAAATCGATATCGGAAAGAATCGACTCCTCAATGCCGATATTTGCGCCGACTGCTGAGACGAATTCCGAGATTCGGAGGCTAAATTTAGAATGATATAGCAGCTGAGCCCAAATACTCTTTCAGATTTCAAAAGTAAGCAAAAAGTTTTCTCGGAGCGGGGTCGAACCCGGGTCGTTTGACTGGCCGTTCGACTTGTAGCTTAGCTCGCTAACCACTCGGCCACAGAAAAATTGGCGCCAATATGTTTTTTCAATATCAATTCTTAAAGTGTGACTTCCAGATCGAAAGCTCATTGATTTTCAGGCCAAGTTTTCTTTTGTAAAATGTAGAATTTCGCTTGATCTCAAAACGGAGGCTTATTCAACGATTACTATACTTATACAACGGCTACCGCCTAGAATTGAATGTATTGAATGTATCCTGGAATGCATTGAGCCCAAATATTCTTTCAGATTTCAAAAGCAAGCAAAAAGTTTTCTCGGAGCGGGGTCGAACCCGGGTCGTTTGACTAGTCGTTCGACTGGTAGCTTAGTTCACTAACCACTCGGCCACAGAAAACTTGGCGCCAATATGTTTTTTCAATATCAATTCTTAAAGTGTGACTTCCAGATCGAAAGCTCGTTGATTTTCAGGCCAGGTTTTCTTTTGTTAAACGTAGAATTTCGCTTGATCTCAAAACGGAGGCTTATTCAACGTTTACTGTACTTGTACTAGCCACAGTAACCCTCCAGTAAGCTAACAACAGTTACAGTAACCTCATACTTCTTAAAATGTGCCCTTTTGCTACAGTAACCGGCTAGAAATGATTGAGAATCGGGAATTCTTTGATTGAAACTTCGGGACTGGTCGAATTCCTCGCGCACCGGGTGAGTACTCGAAAATTTAAAGCCGCCATTCTTCGATCTGGAGCTCAGGAAAGTGTTTGGTGGAATTAGATTTTAATTTCAGTCAAGTTTTTTCATAGCTCAATCGGTAAAGCGTTTTGCTACAAATCGGAAGGTCGAGGGTTCGAGTCCGCTCGGTACCAAAAAAATTTTTGTTACTAATAATTTGCATTTTTCTATAACCGAGCAGCTAGTGTGACATCCAGAACGCAATTTTATCGCCTCAGAAAAATGCGATCGCAAAAATATGTGGATTTATCGTCAAGGGTTCGAGTCCGCTCGGTACCAAAAAAATTTTTGTTGCTAATAATTTGCATTTTTCTATAACCGAACAGCTAGTGTGACATCCAGATCGCAATTTTATCGCCTCAGAAAAATGCGATCGCAAAAATATATGGATTTTTTCCTTGTGTCCTACATTTTGTTCAGCTACAGTACCCCTTTCACCCGATTTTCCCGACGTTAAATCGATATTTTCCAATTTTCCCCATCATCTTTCTTTCCTCAGCAATGCGAATAGGCAAAAAGAGGGCACAAAAAGCAAAACGAATTTCGTTTTTTCTTTTTTTGGGTACTGTAATAACAAATGTTAAACTTTCAGATTGAAAAATATTTGAATTTGAATTTGAAAAATTCATCCTGACACTCATTAAGCTCAAGTACTCTTTCAGATTTCAAAAATAAGCAAAAAGTTTTTCTGAGCGGGGTCGAACCCTGATCGTTCGACTGGTAGCTTGGTTCACTAACCACTCGGCCAAACAAAAAGTGTCACCAATAAATTATTTGAATATCAATTTTTAAAGCGTGACTTCCAGATCGAAAGCTCATTGATTTTCAGGCCAAGTTTTCTTTTGTAAAATGTAGAATTTCGCTTGATCTCAAAACGGAGGCTTATTCAACGATTACTATACTTATACAACGGCTACCGCCTAGAATTGAATGTATTGAATGTATCCTGGAATGCATTGAGCCCAAATATTCTTTCAGATTTCAAAAGCAAGCAAAAAGTTTTCTCGGAGCGGGGTCGAACCCGGGTCGTTTGACTAGTCGTTCGACTGGTAGCTTAGTTCACTAACCACTCGGCCACAGAAAACTTGGCGCCAATATGTTTTTTCAATATCAATTCTTAAAGTGTGACTTCCAGATCGAAAGCTCGTTGATTTTCAGGCCAAGTTTTCTTTTGTAAAACGTAGAATTTCGCTTGATCTCAAAACGGAGGCTTATTCAACGATTAGCTACAATAACCCAAGTTCAAGGCTTTTGCTAGACTAATATAGCGATTATCCATAAGCACTCACTCTTTCGCGCCAAACCAGATCTTGATATTGGCGATGTTCTTGAGCTTTTGTCCAATGTAGTGCAACTTGCGGACGTACATCGAACCGATATCTGAATAGAATAGAAGATCTAGATCTGGACCTTGAGTTAAAGGTACCCAAAGCAATCGTCGAGATGGCCAACCCGATGCAGACGTAGACGAGCACAATCGGCACGTAGTAGTTGCTGGAAATGGTTTGGATAAGTGAGTCGCATCAGAGTTCAGAGAAACTGAGGCTCTCTAATCAAAGAGCTAGCCTCGATTTTTATTGATATCCTAACTATGGATGTCACTAGACATTTTAGAGATCTAATAAAATCAGGTTTCCGATCTAAAAATATTCACTACTCATCGCATCAGGGTTCAGAGACCCTGAAGCTTTCTAATCAAAGATCTGCTTAAAAATGTTATTGATCTCTCAACCATGGATGTCACTAGACATTTTAGACATCTAATAAAATTAGGTTTCCAATCTAAAAATATTCACTACTTATCGCATCAGGGTTCAGAGGTCCTGGAGCTTTGTAATCAAAGATCTAACTCCAATTTTTATCAAAATCAAAACTATGGAGGTCACATGATATATAACTAAACAAATCAAGCCACATTCCAAAAAATAACCATCACTGATTCCAGCCCTGACAGAGTTCAGGGACCCTAAGGCTCTCCAATGAAATCTCTAGCGTTGTTTTTTATTGATATCTTAATTATGGATGTCACTAGACATATTGAGCCCTAACCCAACGGCCGGTTCCGATCCAAAAATATTCACTACCCCGCATCAGGTCGGGGTCCGTGAAGTTTCTAATCAAAGATCTTGTTTTTATTTATATCTTAATTATGGATGTCACTAGGCAATTTCGATATCTAATCAAGTCAGGATTCCTAAAAATAAAAGTCAAGGTACCCACCAATCGCATGAATGCCTCACGGCCCCGGAGCCAGGCGCCAAGGACCATTTTAGGAGTACCCACCAATATGCCTCATAAGCCCATCCAGGCTAGGCCAAGCCAGGGCCTGTCCAGGCCAGGCCAAGCCAGGACCTGTCCAGGCCAGGCCAAGCCAGGACCTGTCCAGGCCAGGCCAAGCCAGGACCTGTCCAGGCCAGGCCTAGCCAGGACCTGCCCACACCAGGCCAGAAGCTAGATCCAGATCTGGCTTCTGATTAGTCCGAAAGCCAGAGTTCTAGTTTCTAGGCCTTTCTGTGGACTATAGAAAGGACAAACCAGACTCTGATCGGATTCAGTCAAGATCCTGATTAATCCGGGCATAAAATGGGTAAGCTAATGGGTAAAGCATAAAATGGGTAAAGCAGGAAAGGCTTGGCTTTCAGATCCAGTGCGTTTTCGCGAGCACAAAGTACAGAACAGCTACCGTAACCCAAATGGCTAACAAATCGGCTTACAGTACTCACTTTTTCGGCACAAGATCCCCGTATTCGATCGCTGTGAGGCAAATGAAGGCAAAATAAATGCCATTGAAAAAATCGAATTCCCCGTTGAGTAGCGGGATGCAAACGGCTCCGATTGTCTGAAAGGTGTGTTTTAGAAAGTCGAATTCCGTCTAAATCTCAATTACAATAGGGTGACACCCATAGTCGACAAAAATTTAACTAGAAGATCAAAATATCAAATATTCAGCTGTATACAGACCCAGTCCTGTATCAGCTCCACTACAGAAACCCCAGATTGGCTAAAAATGCTAAAAATGAAACCCAATCAGTTAAATGACTTCCAGAATGGCCAACAATCTAGCTAGAAGATCAAAATATCAAATATTCAGCTGTATACAGACCCAGTCCTGTATCCGCTCCACTACAGAAACCCCAGATTGGCTGAAAATCTTAAAAATGAACCCCAATCAGCTACATGACTTCCAGAATTGCCAAAAATTTAATTAGAAGGTTGAAATATTAAATATTCAGCTGTATAGAGACCCAGTCCTGTATCCGCTCCACTACAGAAACCCCAGATTAACTGAAAATGCTAAAAATGAAACCCAATCAGTTAAATGACTTCCAGAATGGCCAAAAATCCAGATAGAAGGTTGAAATACCAAATATTCAATAGTAAAAATGCCCAGTCCTGTATCAGCTCCACTACAAAAACCCCAGATTAGTTGAAAATGCTAAAAAGTGAAACCCAATCAGTTAAATGACTTCCAGAATGGCCAAAAATTTAATTAGAAGGTCGAAATATCCAATATTCAATAGTAAAAATGCCCAGTCCTGTATCCACTCCACTACAGAAACCCCAGATTAACTGAAAATGCTAAAAATTAAACCCAATCAGTTACATGACTTCCAGAATAGCCAAAAATTAATCCAAACCAAATAGATGACAACGATAACGAAGAGAGTTGAGGTGGTGATCGAATCGTTACAAGAAATGTCCCTTTTGTTCTGAAATTCGAAATTAGATGAGGCCAGCGGATAAACTGGATCGTCGGATGAGTCTAATAAAGCCGACTAGATGGAGCTCAGAGCTGAATCTGAGCTTGACAAGCCAAATACGGCTCGATTGGGTAACTCACCCGGCTACAAATGTTCCTGATCTTCATCGCTAGGCTCTCCAAATATCGTCCGATATTCGTGAGCAATATCACCGTGATCGGGATCCCCAAAAAGCCGTAGATGACCGCAAAAATACGGCCGTTTGTTGTGCGCGGCTCGATTTTCCCGTACCCTGGAAAAGAAATCGATTAGCAAAGTACCTTCTAGATCTAAGTTTTACGCTAATTTCCTTGCAAATCGTTAATCCTGGAAGTCACATGATCTTTTGAAATCATTTTTACCATTTAATTCTTGGTTTTGAAATCTAGGAGTTGGATAGCTGAATAGCTGAATATCTTCATAAAAATTATTTTTAGATATTCAATTAAACATTGTTTTGTTAGAAGCGGTGCACTCCAGATTGGGCAAATAAATGTAAAAAATCGGTACCTAGTGTTGTCAAAATGACAAAAAAGGGCAGCACAAAGTACAAAAGGGTTTGCTTACAACTTTGAGACAAAATGTCATAGTTTTATGTAAATTTTCTTGCAAATCGTTTATCCTGGAAGTCACACGACCTTTTGAAATCGTTTTTACCCTTTGATTCTACATTTTGAAATTTAGAAGTTGAATAGCTGAATAGCTGAATATCTTCATAAAATTATTTTTAGATATTCAATTAAACATTGTTTTGTTAGAAGCTGTGCGCTCCAGATTGGGCAAATAAATGCAAAAAATCAGTACCTAGTGTCGTCAAAATGACAAACAAGGGCAGAACTTAGTACAAAAGGGTTTGCTTACAAATTTGAGACAAAGGGTCATAGTTTTATGCAAATTTCCTTGCAAATCGTTTATCCTGGAAGTCACACAACCTTTTGAAAACCTCTTTGACCCTTTGATTCTTCATTTTGAAATTTAGAAGTTGAATAGCTGAATAGCTGAATATCTTCATAAAATTATTTTTAGATATTCAGTTAAAAATTGTTTTGTTAGAAGCTGTGCACTCCAGATTGGGCAAATAAATGTAAAAAAATCAGTACCTAGTGTTGTCAAAATGCCAAAACCGTAGAGAGCAGCGGTTTTGTAGGACCACTCATGGCGGGTATCGCTTCCGATCTCCATTAGGCATCTGAAACAGTGGGAAACGCTTATCTGGAACGCACTACGCAATTTGGCTCGTTCAATTACCGTTGAGCAATCTCATACGCAAAGTCGGCCTCTCGGAGCACGCGGACTTGATGTCGATATCTGGTAATGGTTTTGAAGTTAAATAACGAGAAATCTCTACCGTAATAGGATGTCCTTTATGCATCGGGCTTTCGCATTTGTCTCGTTTTGCCTAAAAAACGGTTTTGCGAGACGATTTTGCGAAGAAATGAGCGATTTAGTGCTCCAGAAAGGGTTTGCTTACAAATTCAGGGCACAAATGCAAAACTTATCCAAGTTTTCTCGCAAATCATTAATCCTGGATGTCACACAATCTTTTGAAATCATTTTTACCCTTTGTTTCTTGGTTTTGAAATTTAGGAGTTAAATAGCTGAATAGCTGAATATCTTAATATAATATCTTATCTTTAGATATTCAGTTAAAAATTGTTTTGTTACAAGCTGTGCGCTCCAGATTGGGCAAATAAATGTAAAAAATCGGTACCTAGTGTTGTCAAAATGGCGAAAAAGGGCAGCACAAAGTACAAAAGGGTTTGCCTACAAATTTGAGACAAAGGGTCATAGTTTTATGCAAATTTCCTTGCAAATCGTTTATCCTGGAAGTCACACAACCTTTTGAAATCATTTTTACGATTTAATTCATTATTTTGAAATCTAGGAGTTGAATAGCTGAATAGCTGAATATCTTCATAAAATTATTTTTAGATATTCAGTTAAAAACTGTTTTGTTAGAAGCTGTGCGCTCCAGATTGGGCAAATAAATGTAAAAATTCGGTACCTAGTGTTGTCAAAATGACAAAAAAGGGCAGCACAAAGTACAAGTTGGGTAATTAAACCGGGTTGGTCCAACAATCCTATCAATAGTAGGCTTACTTCAAGAAATCCTCATATCCGGCTTCGAAATGCAAGAAAACCAGCCCTCCAACCAGCGTGTAGACACTCAAAAAGACAATGATCGCCGCGTTCACCGCCACCGCTTTCCGATTTTGCCACATCAGCTGAAAAGGGTTGGGTAATAAAACCGGTTGCGATTCTCATGTTTAAGGAAAGATTTGGCTATGATTCCTATCGATATCTTAATTATGGATGTCACTAGACATATTGATTGTCTAATAATATCGGGTTTCCAATTCAAAAACCTTCACTACTCATCACATCAGGGTTTAGAGACTCTGAAGCTTTGTAATCAAAGATCTGCTTAAAAATGTTATTGATCACTCAACCATGGATGTCACTAGACATATTGATTGTCTAATAATATCAGGTTTCCAATTCAAAAACCTTCACTACTCATCACATCAGGGTTCAGAGGCCCTGGAGATTTTTAATCAAAGATCTAGCCTCGATTTTTACTGATATCTGAATTATGGATGTCACTAAACATTTTCAATATCTAATAATATCAGGTTTCCAATTCAAAAATCTTCACTACTCATCACATCAGGGTTCAGAGGCCCTGGAGATTTTTAATCAAAGATCTGCTTAAAAATGTTATTGATCTCTCAACCATGGATGTCACTAGACATTTTAGACATCTAATAAAATTAGGTTTCCAATTCAAAAATCTTCACTACTTATCACGTCAGGGTTCAGAGACTCTGAAGCTTTATAATCAAAGATCTAACCTCGATTTTTTTCAAAATCAAAACGATGGAGGTCACATGATATATAACTAAACAAATCAAGCCACATTCCAAAAAATAACCATCACTGATTCCAGCCCTGATAGAGTTCAAGGACCCTAAGGCTCTCCAATGAAATATCTAGCCTTGATTTTTATTTATATCTTAATTATGGATGTCACTAGACATATTGAGCGTCTAACCAAATCAGGTTTCCGATCTAAAAATATTCACTACTCATCGCATCAGGGTTCAGGGTCCCTGAAGATTTCTAATCAAAGATCTAGCGTTGATTTTTATTTATATCTTAATTCTGGATGTCACTAGGCAATTTCGATATCTAATGAAGTCAAGATTCCTAAAAATAAAAGTTAAGGTACCCACCAATCGCATGAATGCCTCACGGCCCCGGAGCCAGGCGCCAAGGACCATTTTATAAGGGAAAGGCTATGGAAAAGCTATTGAAAAGCTATGGAAGGGCTTTGGAAAGGCTTCTGAATAAGGGAAGGCTTAGGAAAAAGACCAGTTAATCAATATATAATAGTAAATACTTTCAATAAGAAAGACTAGAGGGGATAGCAGGGCCAGGGTTGAGGCCAGGGCCACCTCGGGGTCCCTAGGGTCCATAGGGTGCCCCCTTTCCATAACCAGCCCCTTTGCCCTTCTCCATTCCCCTTTTTTTTGTTTTTGCAAAATTTTTGCTTTCCCCTGAAGTCCCTGAAGGATTTGAACTCTTTTTTTGAACCGATTTTTCTTCTTTTTCGGATAACTCTCGGATTTTTGAGTTAAGTTTTCAAAAAAAAAAGTACTTGACGTTTGTTTTGGGGAAATATTTCGAAACAATGGGCTAATTTAGGGCGTAGAGCTGACTAGAGCTGTAAATAGCTGAAATTTTAGCAATTCAGTAATTCAGGAAGAGATTTGTTCACATTTCGATCCCCCGAAACGCGTCGATCCCCGCAAATCTTCCATGCCACCCTTCCCCAAATCAATCAAGCGCTTATTCCTCTTTTCTGAGTGCTCAGAATCTTTTGATTCTTTTGCGATTCTTTTAGCTGGAATGCACACAACATTTTGCAGGGCTCAGATTTTGGATTTTGGGCTTTTATTCTTTTTTCGCATTTTTACTTGGATAAACTGTTGGATGTTGGAGCCATGGGGCCATGGCCATCCAACTCTAGAGACATGGGGCTATGGCCATCCAACTCTAGAGACATGGGGCTATGGCCATCCAACTCTAGAGACATGGGGCTATGGCCATCCAACTCTAGAGCCATGGGGCTATGGCCATCCAACTCTAGAGCCATGGGGCTATGGCCATCCAACTCTAGAGCCATGGGGCTATGGCCATCCAACTCTAGAGACATGGGGCTATGGCCATCCAACTCTAGAGCCATGGGGCTATGGCCATCCAACTCTAGAGACATGGGGCTATGGCCATCCAACTCTAGAGCCATGGGGCTATGGCCATCCAACTCTAGAGCCATGGGGCTATGGCCATCCAACTCTAGAGACATGGGGCCATGGCCATCCAACTCTAGAGCCATGGGGCTCTAGAGTTGGATCTGATTATGAGACAGGGATTTTTCAAAGTGATCTTTCAAAGTTCTTTCAACGACCTAGAACCTAAACTATGTCCTGCCAACATTTTTGCATTCTTTTATTCGTTTTAAACACTTTACTCTTGCTCACCGTTGACACAAACAAATCGCCACGATTCGAGAATTTGTGCATCGTGGCTTGAAAGTGGACAATGATAAAAGTTTAAAAAAATAGATTTCAATAAGGAAATATGGCGTAGTGCGTTCCAGATTATAGATTAAAGCTGGAAAAAGTGGTCTAGTGGTTAAAGGGACTGTTCTAGGTCTAGCAACCTGAATTCCCTTTCCCGCCTTCAAAATTTCTTTGAAAAAATGGATTTCAATATGAAAATATGGTGCAGTGCGTTCCAGATTATAGATTAAAGCTGGAGAAAGTGGTCTAGTGGTTAAAGGGACTGCTCCAAGTCTAGCAGCTTGAATTCCATCTCCCACCTTCAAAATTTCTTTGGAAAAATGGATTTCAAAAAGGAAATATGGCGTAGTGCGTTCCAGTTTTTATTCTGGAGCTGGAGAAAGTGGTCTAGTGGCTAAAGGGGCTGTTCCAAGTCTAGCAACCTGAATTCCATTTCCCACCTTCAAAATTTCTTTGAAAAATTAGATTTCAAAAAGGAAATATGGTGCAGTGCGCTCCAGATTTTAGAATAAAACTGAAAAAACTGGTCTAGCGTTTAAAGGGCCTGTCCTAGGTCTAGCAACCTGAATTCCATTTCCCGCCTTCAAAATTTCTTTGCAAAAATGGATTTCAAAAGGAAAACAGGATATGATGCGTTCCAGGATTTCGTTTGGCTTTGAAGAAACTCAAAATAAATCGCTAAAAAGATGCAAAAATGGCTGGGTTGAGAAAAAGAAAGTAGGAGATTGACCCCGGTGATTAGGAGGCCATTTTCAACTCGCTGAGGGGAAAAGCGAGGCATGAATAGCCGGGGATTCTGACAAAAAAAGGGAAATCGGAGTGAGAAAATCTTGAGAAAAGTTTCAATTTTACAAAGAAAGCAAATCTTGGAGGGTTTTTTGAGTGAAAAATGGAGAAAATCGACAAAATATTTGTTTTTAAGCTTTTAAAGCTTAAAATATGCTTGCCTGAATATCTTTAAATTGCCTGAATATCTTTAAAATACAGGCTGTAAAAAAGCTTTATTAAATAAGAATTTTCTAAAGTTTTTAGCTGTTAAATGCTAAAAATAACAAAGTTTTTAGCTTAAAATCAAATATTTCGTGGATTTCCTCTTTAAAAGGGACTTTGAAAGGGCTGGGGAGGGTAGCTGTATGGCCGAGTGGTTAGGAGCCTGGGTCGGTAGTCCAGGGGTCGCTGGTTCGACTCCATCTTCGATTTTTCTTGGTTTTTGGAAGGATTTTTGGATTTCCTGTTTAAAAGGGACTTTGAAATGGCCGGGGAGGGTAGGGGAATGGCCGAGTGGTTAGGAGCCTGGGTCGGTAGTCCGAGGATCGCTGGTTCGACTCCAGCCTCAGTTTTTCTTGGTTTTCGGGAGGATTTTTGGATTTCCTCTTTAAAAGGGACTTTGAAAGGACCGGTGAGGGTAGCCGAATGGCCGAGTGGTTAGGAGCCTGAGCTCGTGATCCGAGGGTCGCTGGTTCGACTCCCTCCTCGGTTTTTCTTGGTTTTTGGAAGGATTTTTGGATTTACTCTTTAAGGGGGATTTTCAAACGGCCTGGTGAGGTAGCCGAATGGCCGAATGGTTAGGAGCCTAAGCTCATAGTCGAGAGGTCCATGGTTCGACTCCGTCCTCAGTTTTTCTTGTTTTTTCAAACATTTTTGTGGATTTCCTCTTTAAAAGGGACTTTCAAACGGTCTATGACGATAGCCGAATGGCCGAATGGTTAGGAACCTGAGCTCTTAGCCGGAGGGTGCTAGTTTGACTCCGTCCTCGATTATTTTTGCCGTAAAAGGTAAAGATAACAAAACTTTATTTAAAACTAATAAACAACAACTCGTTAGAACTGATTGAAGTCTGTACTGGCCTAGCTGAGTAGCTTACTGGGGCCTAGCTACTGGGGTTCATTACGGAGCCTGCTCTAGTAATGGACTTGTCCTATTGGCCAGGCTCTGGTTAGGTTTAGTACTAAATGAACTGCTTGAACGTAACGTAACGTACGATTGAGCTAGAATTGACAGATTGAACTAGTATCGACCAGGGGACTCATGACTACGTTTGCCTGGTCTGTACTGGTTCGGAAGTTGAACCGGAACTTGGATTAAGAGCTGGCTTCTCCTGGAACTGACGAGCAGTTGATAGCGATTGATCAAGATTACTTTATGGCTTTATATGGAAAGCGATGTGCCAGATGGAAATCGAACAAAGAACAGCAGTTCTTGAAAAGAAGCAAAAGAAAGATCGATGTGGCTCTGGCTCTGGAAACGAGTGCTCTACCACTCGGCTACGACTACAGGGCCACGATTGCAGGGCCAAGATTGCAGGGCCACGATTGCAGGGCCACGACTACAGGGCCACGATTGCAGGGCCAAGAGCAGGGCCACGATTGCAGGGCCACGACTACAGGGCCACGATTGCAGGGCCAAGATTGCAGGGCCACGATTGCAGGGCCACGACTACAGGGCCACGATTGCAGGGCCAAGATTGCAGGGCCACGACTACAGGGCCACGATTGCAGGGCCAAGATTGCAGGGCCACGATTGCAGGGCCACGACTACAGGGCCACGATTGCAGGGCCACGACTACAGGGCCACGATTGCAGGGCCACGACTACAGGGCCACGATTGCAGGGCCACGACTACAGGGCCACGATTGCAGGGCCACGACTACAGGGCCACGATTGCAGGGCCACGACTACAGGGCCACGATTGCAGGGCCACGACTACAGGGCCACGATTGCAGGGCCACGACTACAGGGCCACGATTGCAGGGCCAAGATTGCAGGGCCACGATTGCAGCCACGACTACAGGACCACGACTGATTCTACAAAACTAACGTTATCATTTTCAGAAAATTAACGGTTGGCCATCTAGTTTTCGAGATTTTCGCGATCAAAAAGTGAAAATGGCCAACGTCAAATTGATTGGGGAAAGTTCGAGGCCCAAGGCAAAGCTCGAGGGCTCGAGGCCCAGCTATTAGAGTGAAAGTCACGAAAACGTGGCTAGACCTTTGCTGCAATGCGTTGAGAGCGTTGAGACGGCAAGGAGCCAGCTTAAATGCCGACTATAAGCCCCAAATGTCCACAGATTCTAACAAAACCCTCACAAAATCCTCCCAAACTTTAGCCACTTATAACTTTTGATAGAGTGCTTTTTATCAAAAACGGAATATATATTCGGAATCAGCGTGAAATTTTGCGTCAGATGATATAGATGAAAAGAGTTTTTAAACAAGTTTTAGCAGTTTTGACTTGGCCGAAAGTTCAACCATAGGACTCCGGCCTTTTTCTTGATTTAAATCGATTAATTTCGATTTTCTAAAGGGAGATTGTGTGCTTTAAAAAAAAAAGGAGAGGATAAAGGACGGAAATTGGGCTGTTAAATGCAAAAATGAGAGCTTTTTCTCCTTCAAAAGTGTTCAAGACAGAAATTTTTCGACTTTTTCCCGTTTAGCCTTTTTCTCATAAACAAAAATGGCTAATTTTTGGCCTTCCAAGCAATTTTCAAAGGCAAAAAAGCAAAAAAAACCTATAAACAAAGCAAATTTACAGTTATTACCCGAAAAAGGAATTATTTTTCTCTTTTTTTTCAACTTTTTACTCGATTTTGACTAAGATGAGAGAAATTATGAAAAATCGATCCAATCCTGGCGAATTTGACACAAATTTTACTTGAGAATGGCCCAATTTTGATGATTTACTATGTGGAAATGTGAAAT